TTATTTACTGCATTCCACCATCTTGGACTAAGCAGGTTCACAGTACCAACACATGGCAACATGTAAGAGATCTGTGAGTATAGTCCAGCAAAATCTTCCTCCTAAAAGTAAATTGGACAACATATGGACATTTACACCATGCGGGATTTCTTCAAAAAATACAATACTTTTGATACTCTTATTTATTTATTTTTGGCACATTTGAACTATTTTTGCCTATAGCTGTTTATGCTTTAAAACAAAAATTGACTTGGTGGAAATTTACAGGAATTTATACACAAGGAAATTGTAAACAGATGAAAATGATTCATTACCTTCATTTATTTTAGAGGAGTTAGGTAGCATTTACGTATATATTTGCTATTGGAGATCGACTGTTTTTGTATAGGCACGCACAATGATGCCAGTGTAGCAGTATATATAATGAAATGTATGTCTATGAGTGCTAGTATACTATAGTGTACACCTTACTTTGATATCTTTGCTGATGTTCCATTTGGTAACTTCAGAAAGTCAGCCAACAATTCAATGAACATTACAAAGAGATAATCCATTAGCTTTGAAGTGGCTTAGGCATCTTCTGGCTCACAGGGTCCTTTTTTCTTAAATACCAATGTGGCAGCAGTCCTCTATTATCTTGGATCCATTTTATTATTTCATTTGTGCTCAGGTACATACTATACCAAAGCCTAATAGCATAAAAAAATGTCCAAGACAATGTGTAAGTAATAAGCCACCCTTAACTGGCATTGGGCTTAATAACTCTGGAGACAAACAAGCAAGTTAAATGAGATTACGTTATTTAAGTACCTGGCTCTTGTTTGAAACTGGCATACGTTATTCTGATTTAGAATTGCTTTGGCTTACCTGCTCTGTTATTCACAGAATGACCGCTCATTAATTATCTTTGAGTGCTCTTCCTTTTGTAAATAATCATTATTAGCTCTCTTGAGGTCATTGGATGTGTTTGTATTAAGGCAAATATTGCATAAGCAGTATGTTGAAGGAGACACAATGAAAATAAGTAATTCATGTTTTGTTTTTTTTTTAAACTTCTGTATTTTATACTTTTTGGAGGTATGGGATTACTAGTTCACATGCTCATTAATCACTTGAAATATGTCTTCATTTATTGCTTTGCTAAGTTACTTGCTTTGCGCTGTAATTTACTTATTCTTCAAAGCCGATTCTCATGGGAGAACAGAGCAAATGTAAAGAAATCGTTACAATCAGTGGGAAATACCGTTGTTAAATTATGTTGAGTAGCTATAGTTAGAACAAAATAAACTGTCATTTCAAGAAATAAAGTGGTAAATGTATAGCTCCATACCAACTACACCAGCTTTTCCATTGTATAAGGTACATCTGTCTTGTTTATTTATTTATTTTATTTACATTTTATGATTAGTAAACTTTTGAATCTAACGGTTTTATGATCTTTTTGTTTTTTAGTGAATATGTATTTTATTCTAAACATTGGAATGAAATCTTTGACATCTAAACCTGTCCTAAACATGGATGGTCTTATCACCATTTTTCTTTTTTTATATATTGCAATGTTGCTAGACACGTGGCTGGTATCATCAGTTAATTGTGGGATCACTTTGAATTATGAAACAGACACCTATAGTAGTCTTCCATTTATCTATGTTGATTGTCCTTGTCTATGAGATTTCTTTCTGTCACTGATCACTTGTGGTGTTGTTTACAATGCCATCTCTCTATGGAGTACAGTGTTATCAAATACCAAAAAAGTACTCTTCCTTCTCAAGCCATAACAACCTAGAGAACCGGAAGAGCCTAATGAGAGATTTTGTGTAAATGGTAAAAGCAAAGGTACCTACAATTCACACAGCTGTTGGTGGCAAATACAGAAGTGGATATGAACATGTGGGAGTAATGTGGCTGTTCGCTGGGGATAAGGTTTTAGGTGGATATGCTTGTAGGGGGAGAAATGGATTAGAGATAAAGCACTGTGAAGAAGGCTTGATTTTATGGGGAAAATTTACATGATTGATGGATTATGGCTCTTAAAATGGGGTATATGTAGGGGACGGGAAGAGATATTTGTCAGGAGGGAGAAAGTGAAAATGGTAGAGGGCATAGCAATGTATGATGCATGCTTGCTGTGAATATTGCTGTAATATAAAAGGGAATATGTGTGTTGGTAGAATATAGGTTAAGAGTGTTAGCAGACTCTGTAGGAAAGACACAAAGTCATGTACTCCATGTTAGATATAAAACATATCTTTTGGCTGTATAGAGAACCAGTGATCAATCATGGGAGAATAGCAACGATAACAACAATGCATCATTCTGTCATTGGCTAGTATGATATTAAAAATATTTAATAATGATTAATATTTGCATGAAAGTAGCATTTTCTAACAAACAATACTTTAATTTTAAATGACAAAACTTGACATCCCTGTACATGTTATCCTCCCCTCAATTTCCAATATAGATCTTTGGTAAGATAGCAAAGGCATGACTATATTGTCAAGGTTACATTTCACATTCACGCATTTGCACACTGCATTCACACACTTGCAGTATTGTGTATTCTACACCCCGCTACTTTACCATGCCCAATGCATTTCTACACAGTCCATAAAAACAGTCTATAAAGCTAAAAAAAACTGTCTATTTAGCTGAGAAATTAGTCAAACAAAACAATATAGACTTTTTTTTTAAAAAGGAGGAATTTGGGGCACATGTGGAACGTGCATTTTTCATCAGAAATGCGTGTTTTGTGTGTGTTCCCATTTCCCCTTTTTTATTTATTCCAGACTAGATTCATTTTGGGTTAAGTACCTTGCCTGGCTCTCTGCTTCAGATGCCCTTTTCGAGGTAACAACAGGAAAGTATACACTTGAGGAGATTTTTGGATAGCAATGTCTTCCTGTGGGCAGGAAAGGGGTACACAATGTTCCCTTATGGTCCAGTGGCACATCAAGGTGTATTGTAAAGAGGGGGCATAGAAATTTAATTCTCCATCTCCTGCAGTATCAGGCCTTTTCCTCTCGCAAGCCACAAGAGCGTTGCCATGGATTGATAAGCATTTATATATATTGTTACTCGCTACAAATATATGCAAATTGTCAGTCCGGGCTACTTGCGGCACAGTACATTTGTTAAAGGTTTAGGGATGGCATTTTGTCCCACCAGGACCAATAGACGTGCCAGCCCTGACAGACAGTCACACATGCTCAGTTACAGGCACACATTCACACACAGTTACAGGCACAAAGTCACACACAGTGTAGTGTGTGTATATGTGTGTTTGTATGTGTGTAATGTTTGTAGTGTGTGTATCTATGTGTTTGTATGTGTGTAATGTGTGTGTGTATCTGTGTAGTGTGTAATCTGTGTGTTTGTATGTGTGTATCTGTGTGTTTGCATGTGTGTAATGTGTGCATAGTGTGTATGTGTGTGTGTGTGTGTGTGTGTGGTGGTTGTATCTTGTATGTGTAATGTGTGTAGTTTGTGTATCTGTTTGTATGTCTGTAATATGTGTGTATGTGTAGTGTGTATATGTATGTTTGTTTGTGTGTATGCGTATGTGTGTAGTGTGTGTATCTGTCTGTGTGTGTAGTGTGTGTATCTGTGTTTAGTGTGTGTATCTGTATGTAATGTAGTGTTTGTATCTGTATGTGTGTAGTGTGTGTATCTGTTTATAGTTTGTGTATCTGTAGGTGTGTAGTTTGTGTATCTGTAGGTGTGTAATGTGTGCATATCTGTGTGTGTGTATCTGCATGTGTCAGTGTATGTATGTGTGTCTGTGTGTATGTCTGTGTATAGCAAGCATATAAGTGTTTGTTGTCAATATCTGCATGTGTGTCAGTGTTTGATACATATACTGACACACATGCAGATGCACAGACACACATGCAGTTGCACAGACACACATGTAGTTGCACAGACACACATACAGTTGCACAGACACACTGATACACATGCAGATATACAGACACACAGATACAAACACTGCCCCACATGCAGATACATAGAAAAAACAGATACAATCACTGACACATACAGATACAGACACTGACACACATGCATATACACAGACACAGTGTATAGGTAAGTGTATTGGCTGCAGTGCACGCACTGATACACATGCTACATCCACAGCACACAAACAGAGACACACTACATCCCCAGGACACACAGACATATACTACATCCCCAGCACACACACAGATACATATTACATTCCCAGTACACACACAGACACACAATTCATCCACAGCAAACACAAAGACACATATCATCCCCATCACACAGTTAGACACACACTTTATACCCAGCACACACACAGACACACGTTTTATCCCCAACACACACACACATAGAGACACTACCATTGCAGAAACATATATGTTTTTTTTAGGGGGGGGGTCAGAATTTCATCCTTGGATCCAGGCAGCTCAATGTCTTGGGCCGGCCCTGCCCTATACACACAACACACTGCAAGCAGCTACCCCACACATATAGAGTCCCAGACACAACTATACACATACTCACAGAGATATACATTCACAGACAAGGATGCTCACTGTCAGACATACACTCTCAGGTGCATACAAATATAGACAATGAAAGACACATTGAAAAATACACACAGCTAGATGTGTGTATGCATGTACATGTATTCGGGAGTGTATTTGTGTATTAGTGTATATATGTGTGCAGTGTGTATATTTGTACGTGTATTAATGTTTGTGTCTACGGCTGCAGTGTGAGTTTCGTATGGTACGTGCAGTGCAAAGGTAAATACACCTTCCTCTATGTATACACGACTTCCAGACTATGCAATCATACCCCGCAACCATGTATAAACAATTTGCATAGTTGGAAATTAAATGTGTTCATTGTAAATAATTTACTTTGCAAATTATGTCATAACTACAGTCAGAGAGCTCACAATGTATCAGCACAGGAAGTCATGACACTGCAAGCCTCTGAACAATGAATACAGAGACTACCTCTCCGTACCCAGCGCTGCAAGCCACTCTTCAATATAACTACAGCTCCTTATAAAACACACAGAATGGTTCCTCAATTTTTTTTTAACTACAGAAGTTAGAGGGGGCCTTATGTTTGAGTTTTGCCGAGGCCTCACAAAGTGTAGATCCATATCTGGTGGGGACGGTGTAACTTTGGATGAAATGTGGAGGGAGAATATGAATGTGGGTTGTGGAGAACATGGATGTAGACTTGGGACTATGGTGAGTTTAAAGCTGTAGAAATGCAGAATAAGACTCTGAAATGTAAAATGGTTTATCAATACTGTAAATTATGTCACAAACTAATTTTTTTGTGCAGGATTTCAATTATCTTCCTATTTGAGTTTCACTTAAAAGATAAATGAAGTTTGCATAACTTTTTGCTCAGACACCGCAGAATGGGGTAACAAAAAACATAATTTAAAAATTCCATCAAAACAAATACGCTAACATACATTATCATTTTAAACACTATTTGAACTATAAGCTGTGAATATGTTAGTTTAAAGACAGATGTGGATGGCAATGAGAAAGTTATGTCAATTACTCCATCCCTGGACCTTTTGGCGTGGTTAATGAACCAGGAATCAGTTCCGCAGGATCCTTTGCTGAAGACACCTTCGATGACCCAGTCTGTTCAATGGTTCACTGGCTGCTGAAAATAAATTAAACAGAAGAAAATAGTTGATAGACTTCCAGTGCAATGCTCAGATTCACACAAAAGCTGGACAATTAATCTGAGTAACTCTGCTCACAATTCAAAATTACAGAGAGCACCAAATTGTCACAGACTTGACCTGAACCTCATTGTGCACTGACATACTGCATCTTCAGATTTTGTTTCGATGTTCATTACATGTAATGGATTTTTGAGAAAACTGTGACTTTCCAACTTGTCACTGACATCTGGAGAATTGCTTAAATTGGCTATGGTATTTATAATTCACTAAATCAATCATAGTTTTACAGAAATGCCTAGCAAAACATATGGCTATGTGAAGCGGTCATAAAAAGTCAAAAGTGGAAACTAAACATAAGTATCAGCATTTTCAAAGTGTACCAAACAATGCATGGCTAATATCTTGTTAGCAAGTTATTTCACAGAAAGGTATTGGAATTGTAATGATTAAGAGAATATTACTTATAGATGCTGCCCAGTAAAGTGACTCGTGACTCTAGTTCTGTACTAATACTTTACTCTTTGGACAATAGAGTTTTGCTGTTGCATTATTTGCCTGAATACATTATTATCTGTTGCTGAGCAGAATTTGTTTTAAAAGCAAAGCGGAAATTGCAGTTGGAAATAATATCATGATATGAAATTCAGTTAATTTATTTCATTTCAGCAATACCAAACCAACAGAGTGGCCATGGGTCAATTTTTGTTTGAAGAACCCTTACAAAATAGATTATACACCATTTTACATTAAAGGGGAACTGTCACTCCCCTGGATTTTAAATATTATGTTTAATATTCCCTATATTTTACAAGTATGTATTTATGAGGTATGTAAAATGAAATTACATATAAAAATCTACATCTTTTCATCTTGCAGCTGCATACCTTCCAACATCCTCAAGTTCCAAAATCGAAACACCTGTGGGAGGGGAGAAACAAACTTGCATCTCTGGCTCTGCCCAAAATGGGTGGACCCACCTGTAATGTGGGCACTTACGCCCACTTTACTGACAGGATAGCCTGGCATAAATACACTCCAGGCTTCCTGTCAATCATTTAACCAGGCCATTGAGGGTTGACCCTGCAAGGAGCACTTTTTCAGTGCTCCTTGCCCATTCCTAGTACCCTAAATATAGGATGAGCACATCTAATGGTGTACTTGTGCTATGATTTTTGGGGAAAGTTCCCTATTGTGGATGGTCGGGCTGGTCAAACAGGATATGAAAATTGGGATTGTCTCATTGAAATTGGGAAGGTTGGGAGGAATGGAGCTGGGTGCCCCTACATTAGCTTCCTCTAAGTCAGTAGCATAAAGATAAAAGTGTAACCTAGAAAAATGACAGAGGAATTTATAAATATAACTGCATTAACTTCAAATTGTCAATATGTAACACTTGTGACAGATACAATTTAAATCATAACTCCTTATTATATATTATATAATACTCAGATGGTGCGAATGTTGTTCAATTAACAATAAATATATATATATATATATATATATATATATATATATATATATATATATATATATATATCTTAGAATACAGTTTTATTAGAATTCCAGTCTGTATCACAGACTTTCATCAGGATCCTGATGGAATCTGTGATACAGACTGAAACGTTGATTTTTATTTTGAGCTAATAAAAGCTAAGTTTTATTCATTCAACTTGGAAGTCCCTGGAGTGCTATCTTGTACTTTTGGCTGTATCTGTTTGCTGATAAGCACCGGGCAAGTACATCAAGGAAGGTGGAGTGCATTACTATTTTTGTTTTATATATATATATATATATATATATATATATATACCAATCTTAGAATACAGAGAATTCCAAACAGCTGGAAAATACCACATGACAGTGTTCAACTCAACATTTTCTATGTCACCGAGGTCAATAATATGTAAAAATCCAAATCATTCAATTGAGTTGTTTTTAGACCATTTTAGTAATATTCTTGTGATCTGTACGGTTGTATGTTGAATGGATTGTCTCTTCGGATAATAAGTTGCGTAGTTTGGTTTGGCAAATCGATT